AATATTAACAACAACGATGCTCAGTGAGTGCTTACCACGTACCAGGCATTGTTCGAAAGCATTTCACGTGCTTATGATCAGTTTAATTCTCACAGCAGCACAGGGGAGATACCATTATCAGCACCTTTTAAAGGTATGTGATTTACTAACGAATTTATGAATATATATATACATCGACAGCATATGCTTTCGTTATTTATTTACTGTTAGGAGTCCATGTCGAAAACACCACTATCTGATCTCTCAGCCTTCCCGTTTCTTTGGGAACCCCTACTTCTGTTGGAACCCTGCTGCTTCCGAAATGACTCCATTACTCCTGTGGTTGTGTGGGCACCCCTCACTTCTCCAGGTAGCCCCTCATTTCTGGTGTGCTCCCCCACTTCTGTGGTCATATCCTCATGCCTGTGAGGGTCCCCACTTCTGTGGGCTCTCAGACACTGCAGGACCGAGAAGACCAGGAATTCTGAGAGATGCAGACTTTCTCCTGGGAAATCACCAGCAGCCTGATGGGCACTCACTGCCGGACCTGCCCTGAGCCCCCACCGCTGGTACTCTGCAGGGGGTCCTCTCAGTTCCCTACCATTTCTGTGAGCCATTCTCAAGTGGGCTTATGGATCCGCTATTTTGACTCTGTTGCCATCAAGGTGGCTGGCCACCTTCCCTTCATCCCAGCTTCCCAGGCCCAGTGGAAAAAGATACTGTCAGTTTTTTGTTTTTTTTTATCCTCACCCGAGGACATTTTTCCATTCTTTGTTCAGGTAGAGTGGGAGGGAGAGAGAGGAACAGAGAGAGAGAAATATCAATGTGAAAGGGACACATCGAGTGGCTGCCACCCACACGACCAACCAGGGCCGGGGACAAACTGCAACCGAGGTATGTGCCCTTAGCGGGAACCGAACCCGGGTCTCTCGGGACCGCAGGCCGATGCTCTAACTGCTGAGCCAAACTGGTCAGGGCGATACCGTCAGTTTTAAGATCCAAGTGGCAGAGGCCACCCTCCATCAAAGGAAGGCCAGCCACCCAGTGTGTGCTGCACTAAATTAATCCAAGGTCAGTGTGGCAGAGGGGCCGCCTGCTCATGCGCATCACCACCCCCCAGGGGCTTGGCAACAGCGTGCCCTTAATTGAAGGCATTGGGTTTGCATTTGAGTCACAGTGCCCTATTTCAGCCTTTGTTTGCCAAACCGCCAGTCAACTTAAACTAAAACATGTTTTTGGAAAAGACTTTTAGGGGTGGTAGGAATGCACAACTTGCTGGAAACATTCGAATGGACTTCGGGCGGAAATGCAGGAAAGAAGTAAGAATGTGCATTGGTTCAGGTTGTGAAGTTCCTCACTGCAGAGGGACAGAGAATGTGGTTGCAGGCTTGTGTTTGCCCTTCCTGATCCGCTAGGTATTAGGGTCAGTTCATCCCCGCCAGGAAGCCAGTACTCAAGGTTCTCCAGGACCTTCCTGGTCTGAACTTGGCATGTAGGGTTACCACCATCTATGTGGCCACATTCTCATTCCACAGAGAGAGCTGGGAGGCCCAGGTCAAAGGCCATCCTGGTATTAAAGCATCCCGTGCACCTGCCTCAGTGACTTGTTTAAAAACCTAGTGTGCAAAATATAACATTTGGGCCACCAAATAGTTCAGAGCTGGTTTGCAGACTCGAAAACACACTGGGATCAGCTGGTGGATAAATGTCGGTCGAAACCCCGGGGCCCCACGTCAGCCAATGAGCTCCATCACCGCGAGGTGGGCTCCTGCAGAGCTGACAGGTGATTCCAACATACAGCAGGGTGGGCCGCTGGCCACAGCTGGCTCACTCCATGGAACCTCGGGCAGGGCGTGGTCTCTGAAACCTTCTCGGTTTCCTGACACCGACTTTCTCTGCTGCTTCTCTGGGCCCCGGGTGAGTCAGTCAGCATTTCCCTCCTGTGGTCACCAAGTTCGAGCCCCACCACCAGCCCCTGGAATCCTCTCCAGCTCCCCTGCCCCCCAGGGAAATTTCCAAAATGTGTTGGTCATGAGGCATGGTGTAAACAAATATTTCAAAATGACCATTCATAAAGCAGTAAGTTGCTGCTTCTAAAGACTGTAAGTCAAAACCCACAGTTAAAGTTGTATGTAAGCCATTGAGGGTGTGTGGGGAAGGGGGTACGGGGAAATGAGTGTCGCCTGAAGCCAGGTAGGATACAAATACTACATAAAACCTCTGCAATCTATATTCAAAATTTTGGGTTCCAAAAATTCCACAGAATTCTTGTGCTTACTGATAAAGCTGATAACATTTTGACACATCAGTATTGGCCATCTCTTTTACCCTTTGCCTGTCTCTTTTTCTGGAGATGACAGTCAGCACGAACACGACATCTTTTTTGAAATGTACTTTGCCTTTAAAGAGATTAAAAACCATTCTAAAGGCCTTAGAAGTTGGTTCAGTTTCTTACTGGAATTAAGGAGTAGTTGTAGCATGAAGAAAGCATTAGGTCGACACAGTAACACAGGATAACATACTGGTGAGCCACTTTGCAAAGTTGGTTTAAGGATAAAAAGAATGTATTAGAAGTGTACTGAGTTCCTCACAAGAAAAGCCTCAAAATTTGGTGCCTATCATTAAAATGTTTTAAGCTCTTCATAAAAATAACATATTATTGCCCTGGCCGGTTTGGCTCAGCGGTTAGAGCGTTGGCCCGTGAACCAAAGAGCCGCGGGTTCAATTCCGGTCAAGGGCACGTACCTCAGTTGCATTTGGTCCCCAGCCCTGGTTGGGGTTGTTTGGGAGGCGACCAATTGATGTGTCTTTCTCACATTGATGTTTCTCTCTCTCTCTCTCCTTCCCACTCTATCTGAAAATCAATGGAAAAATATCCTCGGGTGAGGATTAAAAAAATAAGTGAATAAAATAACATATTATTTCTCAAATTATAGAGGGCTCTAACAGTGAAGGGGAAAAAAAGATTGTTCTTTCCAAAACAGTAATATTTTTCCACTACTCTGAACCTAAAACTCTGAAAGCTCTCAGCAGTTTCTCTAACTTAACACGTACTTAAGAGAAAGTGCTCGTGATACAGTTCGCAATCAGATGTTCTCTGTGCTGCGTCTTAACCAACTGCAAGATTTCCCAGTTAATCGTTATTATTTTTAAAGACGAAAACCACTTTTCATCAACTAAACTAAAAAGCTATTTTAGGAGGTATCAATGATAATTTGGGTAAGTAGACAGTAATAAATATCAGTAGCTGACTCTGCATCACAGCTTCTGGTGTGCGGAGTGTCTCCATATACAATATATTGCTGAGTTTCGCAGCATCCTGTGCACTTGAGGTATTCTTAGTCCCTCTTACGGAGGGGGAAACTGAGTCTTAGGCTGAAACAGTGAAGGTAGTGGAGCTGGGACCTGACCCCAGGCCATTTTAGTTTCAATCCTCTGCTTGCATAGAATTTATTGTAGACTACACAGGTTTCAGATCCTCCCTTGTTACTATGGAGCTTCATGACCTTGGGCAAGTCTTTTTATCTTGCTGTACACCTCCGTTGGTTTCAAGAAAGATAATGAAAGTACCTACACTTCGGAGGGTTATTGAAATGATAAAGGAGGATAATGAGCCTGATGGTATGAAATAGATTTTCCCTGTTCCTTTCTGTAATTTTATTTCTTGTGAAAGGACTAACAGGTGGGAAGGAGAACCCTCTAAAAACGGTCCATGTTGCTGACCAGGTTGTAATCAAGACGCCAGATCTGGGTGTCTGTCTCTAACACCTGGGGGATGGAAACTGTTCATATTCTTAGCAACAGTTTCCAGACTTCCTGGGCCTGTCTCCAACCAGCCTGGACTGGGTTCCAGGCTGCAGTGACCTCCCTGAAGTGGCACAGTCACAATGAATGACACGGACATTTCATCAAGACGGGCTCACATTTTCAGCCCTTTTGGATTGGAATAAGGGCTCAGCTGAAGAGTAGACAGATCTGCTCATGTGGTCCCAGCTCAGCCTCGAGCTTCTGAGCTATAAGGAGGCCTGGGTTTTCATCAGGTCAGCTGGGACGGCAGCCCTGCATCTGCCCAGATGACAGGTGAACGATCCAGGCCTCAAGGGGGCCTGAATGTCATCGCTCTGGCGGAGCCTCTGCAATCATCTGACTCAATGACATGGCACGAAGAAGCACAACAACCCAGGAAGAAGAAAATAAAACCCAAACCAACCAACACCCACAAGGGGAAAAGTCCCTCCTGCTTCTGAGTCTAACACCCAAACAGCTGCTACCTCCCAGGCTGAACCCCTGGCAAAAACACACAAGGTTTCTTAGGGGGAAAAACAATAATGAGACAATCAAGAAGAATCCCTGACTTGAAGGTTATGGTTAGACTTACTGCTTTACTATCTTCATCAGTGATATTTTGCTAAAGCTCATTAAAAACAAAGGGAAAGCAACGGACCCAAACAGCTCGTTTTAAGCTCCAGGTAAACACAGGACTGGATATTGTTATCATAGGAGGGCAAAGGTGAAAGGGAGTCACGGGAAGGAAACAGTGAGGTGCTTTGAACTCATCCAGGGTTGTGGTCTAAACCCAGAATGCCTTGGGGTCACCTAGAGTCAGCTGCACGAGGACAAGGAGCAGGACAGTGAGAGCAATCAGAAGGTTCTTGGAACAAGCCACGGTGCTTTACGACTTGCTTACTGCGGAATCTCAGAATTCTCTCCCTCATGCTGCTGCCAGAGTCCGAGCTGCTGCAGCTCCCGCTATCCCAGAGGCTGGGAGCAGCTCGCTCCCAGGACTGGAGGCAGCCCGCAGTCCTGTCTGTCGGGGCCAATCTCAGGGACGTGCTAAGGACCCATGTAAGAACCTGAAGTACGTTGAGGGAGGGGGAAGTTGAGGAGTTCATTTCTGCTTTCCTCAAAGTTCTCAGGGTCCTAAGAAGTTACTTCTTTGGGGAAACTACTTATAGACAACCCGGAAAGACAACTCAACTTGAGAGAGAGGCTGGATCAGCCCTTGGGTTCTTGAGACTTACCCGTACGACGTAGTTAAATCTCCTGGAATCCAGAATGGCAGTTGAGAAGTCCAGCCTGTTGAAAGCTTCTCCCAACGTGCAGTAACCATGGCGCTGAACAGAAGAGAGGGTGCAGAGGTTACTGCAGAAAAACCCACCCGGACTGGGCTGAACAAGCTTGGTGCCTGTCTTAGGCGACCATGACTGTCTGCTCCTTTCCTGTGCCGTGAGATGCTTTCCCCGGGAACCCCCACCCCTCTGAGCCACAGATATGGGGCGGGCAGTTACTTCAGCCAGTGACTCACATTAAACACCCTCTTCGCGATGGGTACCACTCAGGCCCTGGTTCTCTGCACAGAGTAGCCAGGGAAATTCATAGGCAGCTGTGTCAAGGAAAGGTTGGGAGCTGGGTATGTGATGTGTGAGATGATGGTGGGTGGCTGCTCACTTAACATGCTCCTGGGAGGAGCATCAGCCCTAACCACCGACTGCCGGCTGCCTTGCCTCACTTCTCCAGGGCTTTTCTCAGTTTGAGAAGCATCCTTAAGGCTTCATGAAGAAGCAAAAAGAAGTCTTGATCTTTGACCCACGAGCCCACAAGGAACTGGGAGTGGAGAGCCCTGACTCATAGTCCCAGCTCAGCTCCGAGTATCTGGGTGCATCGCCGAGCCCCTCAGGGCCTCATGTCACAGAGGCAACTAGATGTTCTCCAAGGTCCCTGACAGCGATAGAAATTCTATCACTCTCTCCTACTGCCTTGTATCCTAGTTGACTGAACAAATAAATGCCAGTGCAGAGAGAAAATATACACAAAAGGGTTTTAAAGTGCCATGCAAGTGAGGTTATTACAGTGTCTTGTCCCCTTCTGCATCAGCTGGGCGCCCCACCCGGAGCAGGCAGAAGCATTCTGCTATGTTTAGTGACTAGCTTTTCCATGGCTAAAACATAAACGAGTTGAAGTCGAAAGAGATCTTAGAACAAAAAGGAGGCACTGACCTGAGGCAAAGGCCAGGGCTTTATAATAATATATTTGAGGTGGGCATCTTTATAAACATTTTTACATACATTCTCTTACACAGAATGATTGGGGGGGCACCTGGTGACCTTTGCTTCTCTCTCTCTGGAGCCCCAAATTCTGATGGTTGGCTAGGTAATGGGCTGCTCGTCACCACCACCCACACCCAAGAAGACAGTCATGATTTGCAATAACACTGTTGCCCAATTCCCCCCGCTTCCCTACTCCCCCCACTCCGTCTGGGAAAGGTATGAAGCTAAGGGTACTCTTTAATAAACAGATGATACTCACCTCTTTAGTACTGCCTTTGTGAACATAGATCCATTTTTCTTGGTGAAAGTCTATAGAGACCAAAAGAAATACCCAGCTTTAACATGCCTAAGATTTTAAACTTGTTTCTTTTTCATTCATCCCAAAGTGTAAAAAGTTTTGACAAAAAAACAACCACCAAAAACAAAAAATAAAAACTCTACTGACGATCTAAGAGGCTGCAAATGTCTAACTTCTGCAATGTATAAATACTGGAGTTACAATTTACTGTCTGATGCATTCCAAATCTTTGATATTCAGATTTAGTATCTCATAGCTCCTAATTAAAAAAGCAACAACAACCTAACACCCAAATACAAGTTTGTTTTATATGCCAAGCCTACAACTTATACAAGGCCATAAAAAGTAGAAATAAAACTGATAGCACAAGGGAACCATGCAGTATGGGTGAATTAAACTAAAGATCTGTAATTCCTGCTTATTAATACAACTTTATACTCTCTGTTGATATTCACATACAGCATCTAGAAATGTTACAAGTATTTATACAAAAAAGAGGGAGAAACAAATCTATTTTCAAAGCTTCAGAACGGTTCAAAATAAAAGCACACACTGGAACTGATTCAGCTGACCATATCACTGTATAAATAGCCAAATTAACTATGTCAAATATAAGTGACAAGCAAGAAAAAAAACCCCAACTAGCAACTGACTTATAAACAAGACTATAAAGAACACATTAATCTTGCTTGTAAAATGCACAGCCAGCTTTCTGAGTGCAAAGATCCCAGCATCCTCTGTCAATGACACAGTAAACACTGAAGCAGATGTCTAACATGCGAGGTGTGATTATCCATCCCACCCCCAAAGAACCAATCATAACGATCTTCAAACAGCTTTCTTAAGTTCAAAACAAAGGGCTTACACTGAGTTTTGGTTTTGCAGTTCAACATGTCCTTCTTTCTCTTCTTGGCTGCAACATCATAGTTCAGGCTGTTGAAAAGATTCTCCTTATTGTATACTTCCCTGTTGCAGTAACTAGGAAAAACAAGACGAGAGGGGAAGTGCTGTAATAGCCATACTTCAACTTGAGTTGTTTCCCTAAATAACTTAATGTGTTATAAAACATGGACATACATGCTTCTCAAACACAACAATAAAAATCCCCCCAACGAGATCTAGCCAGGCACAGATTTCCCTCTTTCGGGATCAGATACTGTTCACATCTCAGTGGAAGGCAGGGATGGAGGCTTCTGCGTCTTTTGAATTCCCAACAGTGCCTGCCATTGTAATTGAGACACAGCCCTGCACTATTTCACTATATGACTTTAAGCAAAAAGGATGAATGGCAGGAGTGGGAGAGGGGCCATTACTGGTATCCCTGGAACACACAATGCCCTCATTTTGCAAGAGCACCCACCCCAAGTTGCCTTTAAAAAAGATATAATTCACCTACCATACAATTCTCCTATTGAAAGTATACCCAAGCTGCTTTTAACTAGCATGCTTCTATCAAGCCTTTCAAACGTGATCACAGTTACAAAAATCCGACTCGCAAACTCCATTTCTAGGAGACGTTTCGTGAACCGAGCTCGTTGTTTATAATGGACTAACACTAGGCATCGTGCTGCGAGGTGAAGACCTTGGGTCCTCAAGGAAGCAAGCCGAGGTCACAATGAATATGTTTATAAGGGCCAAAAAGACAACTGCCCAAATCCCACGTCACCGGAGGATGCAAAGGTGCAACCAGGGTCACGTGGATTTTCCCTGGTAGGCTGAGCCACCATATGGAAGGACTGACAATGCCTTTCCTTTTTTTTTTTTTTTTTTTTAATCCTCACCGAGGATATTTTTCCATTTTTTTGTACAGATAGAGTGGAAGGGAGAGAGAGAGGGAAACATCAACGTGAAGGGACACATCGAGTGGCTGCCACCTGCACGACCAACCAGGGCCGGGGACAAACTGCAACCGAAGTACGTGCCCTTAGCGGGAACCGAACCCGGGTCTCTCCGGACCGCAGGCCGACGCTCTAACCGCTGAGCCAAACTGGCCAGGGCTGACAATGCCTTTCAAAGTCTGCAGAGTTTCCGCGGAAGGGATGCAGGAGAAATACTGAGGTAGAAAGAGAAGGTAGGTTCCCAACTCTCCCAACTCTCAGGGGGCTGTAAGTATATGCAAGACAGGTTTTGGATTGCCAACTAGTAAAACATAAATTAGATTTTTTTAAAAATGACACCACCAATACATTAGAGTCCTATAATTTTCTGAGTTCCTCTGCTGAATTGAAAATATGATTTGATTTATATCTTTTTTGAACATACACCTATTGGGTAAAATCAGACACACCTGTATTTCTCCAATCCGTGACATTATGTAAATGGTAAAAAAAAAAGAGGGTTTGAAGCAAGTTCCAGTACCTTTTGCTACAACAGTCTTTCAAGTAGCACCTCAATGAGTACAAGTAACTTGCTAAAATGCTTGCACATGACAACACCAACAATATACTCCGTGTTTCTAGACCCATCGAGATAAACTTGATGGATAACCAATCATTTGTTAATCTTCCCTTGGAAGGCCCTGCTTAATCCCATTTACTGAGCTTCCAAACATCTTTAGCTTTCTCCTTTTCATTCAAAAAGACAGGATATTTTTAGGTTTCAGAGAGAAATGTCCTCTCTCAGAGGTACTTTCTTCCGAAAACCAAGGGTGACCGTTTTGGGCCGGGCTTTGTGTCACACAGCAGCGTGTTTGTCCACTTGCACAATGATAAGGGTCCAAAACCACCAACCAGTCAGTTATCCGCTCCAAGGTCAGTGGAAGAGGGGCCGAACAAAGGGAGGGCAGAACTCTAAGTCCTTAAAGCTAAGTTAAGAAATTTCAATCAAGGTTGAGGAGAAGGGCAAAAATGGAAGGTCACTTGACTGATCCGTGATGTACTAAGGCCAAGAACAGCTTTAGAAATTAGTGAGGACATTTTGTGTGCAAAAATACCACACGAAGGCTTGTTTTCAAAGGAAACACACTCATCCATTACGAACAAAACCCTACAGCTTAAATTCCACATATAAAGAACCCTAAAACGAAGCTGCGTCATTCTCAATCACACATGGAAGGTGTAACAGAACATTTTCAGAGCCTGGGCCATAGATTGTGACCCTTCCTTAGGAATTTTAAATATTTATATTTCATTTCATTCTTTTCTAATTGAAAACCTTCCTCCAAAAAAATGTGAGCCCTTGCTTTCCTCACAGAAACGACAACAACCTGCGTTCAGTCCCAGTGACTCATTCCCAAAGCTGGTTTCAGAAGAATCTGACATAACTGATGATGTGCGCTCACTGCAGAATGCAGAAAAGCTTGGACCAAAGCGACACCACACACGTTTCGAATGGCTACTCGGCTCTGGACCCCAGAGGTAGGCCCTGCAAGGGAGAGCTACGGGATTTATTTATGTTGCCTGCTTATACGTTTTCTTTTAAGCAATAATATATTCAGTGAGAGGCTATTTTGAGAGTTCAAGTCTGTCCATTTCAAGGAATTGCAAAGTCAGTGGGAAATCACATGAGAAAAATTGTTTTAACGAGAAAAGCCACCACCATTTAGGAACCCGTGACATTTATTTATTTATTCCAAAAAAGCAAAACCATTTAGAGAGGTTGCTTTCTTTATGAAATTCAATCACTGCCAGTAAATTGCTATTTTGTCGTCACTTCTTACTAATGTTGATTTTTATAGGCACAGGCCTAGAAGAAGAAAGAAGGCCTCTCCCAGCCCTATAGTATTATCACACATTCCAAAATACTTGAAGACAACTTTAGAAAAGGTGGAAAGATTTCAAAGTAAGACCATTTTGGCAGCAGAGATAAAGGGAGGAAGGGGGGGGGGGAGCCTTATTTCTCATTTCATTCGCAGTAACAGGCCATTTAAGAAAGCAGTGGCTACTCAGAGGCTCAGTTATAGATTAAGGCCAATGAGATTTCTGTGCTAATTTGCCCCATGAAATACCCAAACTGTCAAACTTAACATGGCTAGTACCCGGATTGCACAGTAAAAAACAAACTGCTTTGTGTACAAAGCTCTTAGAACAGTGCCTTGCTCACAGTAAGCACTAATAAAAATCTTAACTATTATTTTTATTTTCTTATGCTCTACGTATCCAGGGCACCAAGGTCAACTTCCTGCTTCCTGGTTCAGACTTAGCTATATTGGAAAGCAACATGAAACTTCACCTGCAGGACTGGAGGCGTGGAGAAGGTGGCAGAGGCTCAGAGAGCTGATTACTCACCTGGGGCTGGGCTGGGGGCAGGGAGAGGGGCTGTTGGTGGGAAGGGCTTTCTTTCTCAGGTGCCCCAACCACCATTTCCTTGAACCATTCTTGGACCACCCCAACTCATTCTGAGCTCTTCCCTTGAATTTTCAGTGTCCCACCAAATTTAACACCGTCATTTCTTCTCTGTCTTACATAGTTTTTCAGCTTTTTGAGAAGGGGCCCTGCTTTTAAGCTTATCTGAAATCCTCCACAATCTCATTTTGGGGTACTTAGCTGCAATGGGCTTTGTAGCATTCAGCTGCTGGAGGAGGACAGGGCCTCGGGTCACAGAGAGAATGGCCAGCAGAGTCCAGAAAAGATGCACTGTGCGGACAAGCCGTGGTCAACACTGAACACCAGCCCCCAGGCTGAAACACTCCCAATGCACCCCGACTCTTGTTGGGGCAGCTCACACCAGCTCGCACAATGGTGTGTGGAATTGGAGAAGTGTACCATGTCTCTGTAGTCCTCTGTTTTACACCCCCACCCCCTTCCTTTTTGAAAGGGCTTGCCTTTTGTTTTCTCTGAACAGGAGAGGCATTCAACTTCACCTGTGTAGGCAGGCACTCAGCCCAAACCTGACATCAGAGAGAAACATCACCAAGACTCAAAACAGTGGGGATATTTGAGACTACAAACCGAGGTCTCAGAAGGCCAACCACTTTGAAGAAGTTGGCAGACTTCTCATGCTAAGTAAGGAAGGGATTGTTTACAATTGCTGTGGAAAAAACATACAGGACTCCACAAACAAACAGCCAGCTGCTTTGCTAGGAGCTACCAAATGATTCCTAAACTCTGACTCATCAAAGAACCACAGGCAGTCGCTATACTGATCACCATTTGTGATAATGATGGTGAGTAGGACAGTCTAGCTCAGGTTTGAAACTGGAGGAAGGAGAGGAGACTCATGAAGGGCACTACAGATCTCAGTCTAGACTTAACTTCTGTGTTAAGTTAAAACAATCTTCAGGTCTCCCATACCATGGAGAGAGATGCACCACTATTTACTTCGAAAGGATAGTGATACTATCTTATCGCCTGGAGCAGGTACAGTGGAAATATTTATATGAACCAGAGGCTCTGTATTTTGAATCCTCTCCTGCTGAGCACAGTGGTCTGCTTCCCACTGAGGAGCATCCTACATTATATCTGGGTGAGTCACTGCAGCACAGCTCAACAGATCACTGCTGCACTTCTCTAGAAAGACTCTGCTCTGTTATATAGAAATAAAGTACCAAACATTAGACCACCGTTCCTTAGGAACGAGGAAGGAGGAAGGAAACTTCTCTATTAGGACAGAATAATTTAGGCATAATTGGTAACTTGAGTTCCTAAAAGACATAGTCTGGTGACAGCAGGTGATCTTTTTATTTTTCTGAAAGTAAATATCTGATTTTCCATAAATAAAATTTCTTTGCAGTGCTCCCCAAACTGCCCGGGATCTGCCTGTAAGTATCTTTAGCATAGAGGTCAGTATGTTCTTGTCTTCTGGACAGGCCTCCAAGATTAAATACTATTCTTGTTGTTGTTTCTTTCCCCCTTGGGAGACAAAGAGTTGATGCTTTACAAATCACAAACAGATGGGGGGCTCTGGAGGTCAAGCTGTCAAAATAACCATGTTTTGTTAAAATTAAGTGTCAAGAGGTCAGCCAAACAACCACAGGTTAAGTCTCTGTAAGAGGGAACCTGGCCATTATAAAACTGTCCACTGAAGTCCATTGAAGGGGGTGGGGGTTGGGGCAGGGGTTTTAACCAAAATGGGTGAGAGAAGGCACCCAAGGGTGACCAGGCTGCATAGACCCTCTGTGGACCAACTTTCATTGCTCTCTTCACCTGGGCCAATGCCAGGGCTCTGGTAGTCAACCGTTGCGAATCAAGCCGGACAGATTCCAGACCACCTAATTGAGCGCTTCTGTGTTATTAACCAAGCAGAACTCCCGGCTCAGAGGACCTCGATTTTCCACCAGACAGGGCTCAGGTGGGACTTCAAGTCCAGGGGTTCAGCAGAGCCAGGTGGGATTTTTGCATTTAATGAGCACCGACTGAAATAGGGGTGCACTCACTATACGAAGAAAATTAACCCAAAGTGTCACCGAGGAAACAGGTGTAAATGCTTGGTCCTCCCAGAAGCAGACTTGTGGGTTTCATCCTCCTCCTCAGCTCTGCAGCCCCCACTCCTGACCACCTCTTCGAAAGTCCGCCCTGCAAGGGCGGGTGCCCCAGGGCCATCTGGCCACCCCTTCCTGGTTACTAATCCTCCCTGCCTACTCTGTGGTCGCCTGTGCGTGGGAAGAGCCTGGTGGCGCTCCGGGCGGAACCCGCATCCGATGCTGTCACCAGAGTGTACCCACAGCGCTGGGGCTTTTGGACCCCGTCACTCCAGGGGGAAAGGCGCGCGGCCCACTCGCAGCGCCCCCACGCTTGCAAACTGCGCATCCTCATGGCAGGGGACCCTTCAAGTTGTATGCTTACGTTCGAGTGTTTGTCGTCAGATTCTTAGAGGGACCCGGGAACTGTACATTGCAGTGCCTACTTGGAGACGCTGACCTTGAACAAGAGAAATCAAATCCCGGGACTCCCGTGCTCTGATGACATCTGCAGAAACCACACGACTCACTCCCACCCCCGGGCCAGGGTCTCCCTCCTCGTCCTAGTCCAACCTCGCCTGACCCCCATTCACCCGCCCCGCTCCCCGAAACCAGCCTGGGTCCGTTTCTGGGGCTGGAAGTTGGTGGCGGACCCGCTCACCTGCTGAGGTCGCCGACGAAGCTGCCGCTCTTCTCATCCAGGAAGCGCTTCCAGCCGTCAGCCGTCTTCACCCAGCTCTGCCCAGGGGACCGCCAGTCCTGCCCGAGGAACGGCATGGCACCGCGCGGACGCGCCGCAGCACGCGACAGACTGCTGGACCGACCCGCCCGCGGCCTCGGGGACGCGCCGCCCTGGGTGGACGCTCGGGCGCGGGGCGGGCGCGGGGCTGCGGTCTCGGGGCGCGGGGCCGAGTGCCTGCGCTGGCGGAGGGCGCTGCGCCGGGAGGGTCGCGGGGCGCGCGGGACTCGCGAGTGCGGCGCCGCGGGCCCGGCCGCAGTATTTATCCCGGGCCGCTGGCCGCCGCTCTTTGTTGCCGGAAGAGCCGCCTGCTCTTAGCCCGCCCCCTCCCCCTCCCCCCCGCCGCGGCCCAGAGGCCACGTGGCTTTGTTTATGAGCTCGGCTTGTTTTCCGAGGCGCCCGCGGCTCCTGCTCCTCTGGCTGTTGCACAACCGCGCGCGGGTGGAAACTTGAAGCCGCGCTGCGAGGCCGGGGTTCCCGCTGCCCCTCCGCTCTGTCCCCTCTGCGCTCCCTCCCCGCCCCCAGGGCGCAGCTGCCACCGCCGGAGAGCAAGGCCTGGTCCTCGGGGAGCAGCGTCCCATCCTCCCACAGCTCCCGGGCTGGCGAGGTGCAACTAGAAGGAGGCCAGAGCAGTCTGGGTCACTGCGGGCGGGAGTGGGAGCAGGGATAGCTCCCCTCTCACCCCGAGCTGTCGCGACGGAGCCCTGCAGTCACAGCGGCCTTCTGGGAGCTGGGCCCGGGCACAGCGCCGCCAGGAGCAGCGTGGGCGGGGGCGCGGCTCCTGAGCCCGAGCACTGCCCAGACCCCACTCTTGGACCGAGGAGGGACAGCCCCGCACCCCACCCTGCCCGAACTGCGTTAACGGTTCCCAGGTCCGCTATCAGGCCTGCTTCCCCCGGTGGCAAAGGAACGAAAGGGAGAGGAAAGTAGGCCGATGGCATCTGGTCCCCGTTGGGTGGGAGTGAAGAGCAGGGACTGTCTCCCAGCCCATCCTGAGCACCCTCAGCGAGCAGCGCCGGCGTCCGGGACTCCTGGACCCGCACAGAGCCGCCAGGGAGCAGGATAGGGGTGTCCTAGCCCCACTCCCTGTCCAACCTCCTCCGTGGCACCAGAGGCTGGGCTTTTGTATTGGAGAATCCCTGTACCCTTCTCCCCTTCCGACTATTCCGCATCCTTTGAGCTACTAAGTCCTCTCTGGGAAATAATAGGGCAAGAGTTTTAGTTTTTGGTGAGGGTTAAGGGAGACTGATCTGGATTAAAGGGATTGCACCGTGAATGCCAGATGAGGGCCCGGGGGCCCCAGAGAAGCGTGGAGCCAGTGACTTACCCAGGTCACAAGGCTAGTTTCTTCACCACCTTTAGTAGAACCTGAAATTACCGTTTGCTTTCACTCATTATTTTTATTTATTTATTTTTTGGTAACAATCTATCCCTCTCTGCATAATGTAAACTCCATGAGAGCTAGTCCTTCCTGTTCAAGGTGCATCCCAGCACCTTGCCAGGCCCAGAGTAGACAGACCTTCAATAACTAGTTATATGAACAGGTGAGTGGGTGTGGGAGGCTGCTGGCATCAGGGTAGCTTCTTGCCCTTCATGATTTATAGTTATGCTTCACAGTCTGAGCCACTTGGTGATTAGATTGCACAGAACAGAGTGAAAATTCCCTGCTCAAGAATTAGCTTCCCACCTGATTCATCCAGATCTCTTCCTCTCCAGCCATCCAAATCTTCTGTTCCACCAACTGTACAACCTTTAAGGCTCAGGGTAGGCAAAGAAATTGTGTGTGCCTTGGGGGGCCGGTACAGGGAGGTACATGTTGGAGGGGGGAGGAGATGTTTTTAATAAAGTCTGTTTTCAAGTTGCCAGAGTTATCTGATTCAGGTTTCCCACCATAAATAATTTATTAGTGTAGTAATAGTAAAAATAGCTTGTAAAAACATTGCAGAAGGTCCTAAACAAATGATCATGCTAACAGATGAGACAATGTTGGGTCTGGCCTTTGTTGGAGAGAATTGCTATCTGCAAGGAAGCATAATTAAGGGATATGATTATTAAAGATGCATGCTAGTTACATACCAGTGAGCTACATCTCTGTAGAAACCAAAGGAGGCAGGTAATCTGGATTCTGATTCGCTAGAGCAACATACTGCCCGTCCAACCTGGATAAATGACAAATTTTGGAGGCTCAAGAAAGAATAGAGCCTATAATGCCTACCTTTCAAGATTGTTTAGAAAGTATGGTAATAGGATTATTGGTGCCAGTTCTTTCCTCCCCTTTGGTAGTGTTAGGCATCCACATAGCCCATGGCAACTTAGTGATGTATACTTCCCTGATTGTTGACATTGGGCTTGTCCATGTGACTTGTTTTGGCAAATGGGACGCCCATGGGTGTCATGTGAGCAGGGATATGATGTGGGTGTTTGTCTGGTTGGACTCATCCTCTTGTGTTTTCACTAATGCTATGGCACTAGTGGCCACTGCTCCTGGAAACTTGGTCTCAGGATAGGACACATGGAGCAGTATCCTGGTTGCCCTATAAATACATTAGCAAGAAATGAATGTTTATTGCTGAATGGCACGGAGATGATTGTGGTCCTTCATTACACAGCATCACTGTTTCAATAGCTGACTATTATAAAGGGTTGAGTGGCTGAAAGTTTTTTTTTGTTTTTTTTTTTTTAACTTCTAAAATTCAAGCACAAGTAGGAAATCACAAAGTTTTTTTGTCCTTTTTGGCTAAGAACTAATCTCAGGAAGCCTTCGTGTCTGTTTCTAGTCCCTCAGCTCTATCTTCCTCCTCAAAGAAAAAAGTTGTGGCTATCGTATCTTAACTCAGGCTCCTGAAGTATGAGTGCCGGCTTTAGATTTCCCACACTGTTAAAAATCTAACCTGACATTTCTTTATTTTATTTTATTTTATTTTTTTATTCAGATAGAGTGGAAGGGAGAGAGAGGAAGAGAGAGAGAAAGAGAAACATCTACGTGAAAGGGACACATTGAGTGGCTGCCACCTGCACGACCCAACCAGAGCCAGGGACAAACTGCAACCGAAGTACATGCCCTTAGCCGGAATCGAACTCAGGTCTCTCTGGACCGCAGGCCGATGCTCTAACCGCTGAGCCAAACTGGCCAGGGCTGACACTTCTTTAAACACATGGTTTCTGCTAGGAAGCCTTGTAAGGCTGAGCTCCTCAAGACAAAGACTGTGCTGGGCCATGTCTAGAACAGTTACCTTCACGTCAGATGCTGGCTTGACTTGGCAGAGGCTCTTTGATGGAAGCCCTATCATGGCTGAACATTTGAGAATCACGAAAGCAGAGTATTTATGTCATAGCTTTGGACTGAACATATGGAGGCAGAAGGATACTCTGAGAATTTCACAAGTCACAGACCGGGGAGGACCCGCCTGACCTGATGGTTTGAGCAGTACACACCATGTGGGTACCACAGCTGTGAGTTCCGTAGCGTGGACACTGAGCCGATGACTCTCCTGAACGGGTTGCATGCTGGGTATTTGATTTTTTATATGAATGCTTCTCTGTGAGCTCCTTGTTGGTAGGGCTGAGTCTTAGTGGTTTGGTCACCACAGTGCCTAGCATGGTGCTTGGTACATAACAATTAATAAATAACTCAATAAATGTTATTGAACTACCCTGGGATGCTGTTAGTCCCATGTCTTCACCTATTGATATCTTATTACTTCTAAGGACATAGCAAGTTGGGGAGAGGGGAGGGTTGGCAGCCCCCAGCGTAGCTGAATTCTCTGACAGTGGAGCCTTACCAGTTGGTGAGGCAAATGGGGAAGGTGGTCAAAAGGTAGCATCTCAGAAGGTAATGTTTTCATGTGTTTGTTCCCCCTGATGGCAGATGCTAGCCCTGCTGAAGAAACGTGCCAAGCACTTTGCAAAGATCATTTTGTCTAATACTCCTCACAAAAGCTGGTGAGCTGGGTATTGTCGTCGCCATTTACAGATGAGAAAACTGAGGCTCAGAAAAGTTACCCAGCCTGTTTAAGAACCCTCAGCTAGCGTGTGGTAGAACTCAAGCTGGTACTCAGGTCTGTTACCAATTCCAACTGGAGCCAGATGACTAGGTTCAAATTATAGTCCCCCACTTAAATAGCTGTGTGACCTTGGGCAAGTTACTTAACTTCTCTGTGCCACATTTCCCTCATTTGTGATAGCACCTACCTTAGAGGGTGTTGTGAAGATTTATTGAGATAACATGCATGAAGTACCTACAATGGTGCTGACACCAGCGGTCCTCGTTATTATTATCTTTATGCAAAGTTGGCAGCACCATCTCTGACTTCCTTGAGGCCCTGTCTATCTTCCCCACCAAATTTGACCTTTTGAGGTCACTCAGCTATTTTCAAGATACAGGAAAATGTGTCGATTAGAGCAAATTGTGCAATAAATGATAGTTTTCATGTTATTAGTTACTGTTTATTGTACTTGGAGCTATGGAGATGGGTCCTTTTTGGTTCAGAAGACTAGCTTTTTCAAAGGCGAGCCTGGTACAGTTTTTTGTTTTGTTTTTTTTTTATCCTCACCTGAGGACATTTTTCCATTTTTTGTTCAGGTAGAGTGGGAGGGAGAGAGAGGAACAGAAAGAGAGAGAGAGAAACATCGACGTGAAAGGAACACATCAAGTGGCTGCCACCCACACAACCGACCAGGGCTGGGGACAAACTGCAACCGAGGTTCGCGCCCTTAGCGGGAACCGAACCCGGGTCTCTCAGGACCGCAGGCCGATGCTCTAACCGCTGAGCCAAACCGGCCAGGGCCTGGTACAGTTTTAGCCTACCCCTCCTCATAAGGCTGCTTAGAGAAATTGTAGAAAGGACTGAAAAACTTGGATAAATATGAAGTGCTCTGTTGTTTCTAAACCAAAATGACATTCGTTTATAGCTTTGACCCAGGGACTGACCACTTCTCAGTGAAATGTAATGCTGCTTTGTTTTCTTCAGAGTTTCTCTTTCTGAAAGGGTATTGTGTGTGTGTGTGTGTGTGTGTGTGTGTGTGTGTGTGAGAGAGAGAGAGAGAGAGAGAGAGAGAGAGAGAGAAATACTTATCAGCAGTAGTTGTAAGTTAAAAATAACTTTAGCTTTTGGGTGAGGCAGG